AACATAATTACCATTCCTAGAACTTTAGAAAAATGATGATTGTATGTATGGTGAATCTTTATATGTTGAAAACAAATGATGTCATATCATAATTATTTTTTTTGAAAAGTTGCTCCATTAGGTGGTGGTGGTGACTCTCGACGGAGACAACTACCGGACGGTATAGTGTTGGTGCTCGGATGAAACTTTGAATCTTCATAGTTGGCTCTTTGGGATGTCGTGAACCTAAAGTGTCATCTTTATGGTAAAATGGTTTCAGTGAAAAAAAACTTGTTAGTCTTACTAGGCGTGACAAGGCCAATCGAACTCCAAGTGTCAAACTTCAAATTTCTGATTAAGATTTTATGCTTAGACGGACGAGGAAAATAGTTTTTCTGTGCTAACATAAGCTTAAAAGAGTCCATGGATTTCATATCGACCATTGTTATTTAAATCATGATTCATGTGTTCATTTAGATTTGATTTGCGCAATATATTTCCCTAGACCATGTTATATCTTCCGATGGATATTAGTATGCCAAATTATTTTTAGGAGACTTTGCCTATCTTCTTTCTTATAACAGATTGTTCAATATAGAGATACAAAATTTGTATGAAAATTTCTAAACTCTGAGTAAGAAAGTTAGATGGTTCTTACCTTTCACATTTTGATACTTCAGCTTTCGTCTCCTTCTTTAGTCGCATCGTTTAATGAAAAAATAGTTAAAGGTTCACAGTTCACTCAGATGTCGTACTTGATAAATATCATTGCTTTATGCCAATGCTTTGTAGGCATATGTCTACGTTGTGCCAACAAAGTATGTGTTTAATTTATAACATACAAATAATCTTAATAGAAACTAAGCAACCACAACAAAAGTTTAATGAGATAAAGCATGCTTGTAGCATGGATACTCGTCTAGTTGGAATAATATCTCTTGAATTTATCAAAAAAACTTTGATTGAATTAACTTTACGAAATTATCGACTAATTAGACATTAAGTTTGAGATAGAAAGTTTAGATATTTCATAAATTATTCAAGTAAACAAATACCGAAATATAAAACATAAAACAAACACCAATTTTCAGTTTTAAAATAATCCACACCAAACTTAAAAAACATAATTACCATTCCTAGAACTTTAAAAAAATGATGATTGTAGGTATGGTCAATCTTTATATGTTGAGATCAAATGATGTCATATCATAATTACTTTCTTGAACAGTTTCTCCATTAGGTGGTGGTGGTTACTCTTGACGGAGACCACTACTGGACGATATAGTGTTGGTGCTCAGATGAAATTGTGTATCTTCATCGTTAATAATAAGTCGCTCCTCAAATGCGTATTGCCTTGGTTGACTCATAGTTAGTGTTGGATTATTGTTCATGTTATTGTGTTGTAATAGTTGAGAGACAGACGCAACTGAACCATAAAATGTTGGCATTGGTGGACCAATAAGATTCGTTCCTCCCATAGTGCTTCTTTGGTACGAAAGATGTCTTATTGGATATGGATTTTCGTCGTCAGAACCCATTTTCACCTTGATTGTCTGGTCGACTTGAGCGCTAAGTGGTTCAGAAGATGCAAAAACCCATTGATCCATTAAGTAATGACTTTGATTATCCCTTAGTGCATTACCAATGTTAATCCTCTTTGATGCTTCATAAGTATTCCCCGCTCTCTCATCGTCTTGACCGCCTCCTATCATGAAAACATCATTTGTATTGGTTCTAACGCTATTGGATTCCGCATCAAATGGATTCACCGGTGGATCACGAATAGGAGGATATTGCGTGATACCTAGCCTATTCTTAAATTGAATGATCTTATCCTTTGAGAAAGATAGCAATCCATGGATCTCATGCAAGTTAGGATCATCAATTTTACGACCATGATTTATTTGCACCATCAATTGATCAACCATATACTCTTTTTTCTTCTCACGCATCTTCATCAATTTCTCTTTAACCTTCCTTATCTTCTCCTTCAAGTGTGACTCGAGAGTCGTCTCGTTCTTTATCCTCTCGAAGTCCGGCAAGGCAAGAAAACCGCGTATGAGGTCTTTAGCCTCCTCAAGAGATGGCCACACCATTGGCTCAACCTCTTTAGCATTTAACATGATCAAACAAGCCTTTACATCACACAATATGGTTAGTTCTTTAACCTTTTTAACCAAACACTTCCTTCTTTTTCTTCAAACTATTTGCTCTTTGATCTTTATTCACCACACATGCAACCTTTACCTTTTTTCTTCCCATGATCACTTATTGATATGATATCTTTTCTTTTGAGTTTTTATTTTTTTTTGTGGATGTGAGAAGAAAATCTGCACTTGC